TTTACAAACTGCATTAATCCATTTTCTTTTATACGTACATGAAATTAATTTTATAAGAGAAACGGTTATTTAAAACTCATTCTTCAAACTGATATCACAAATATTTTATTTTACATAAAAATCCGGTGTAATAATTAGTAGGAGTAAAGTCGCGTCGGGGTATGTTAATAGGAAATAAATGTATAATAAATAGCGAATGAAGGAAGGTAATATCCGTTACGAGAGGGAGTGAAAACTTTTGGTTGGTAGTGTATTAATCGGTTGGGTAGGGCAGGGTAGAGCGTGTTTAACTACCCCCGGGGCGCGTGCAGCGTGTGCGTGGATCAGCCGGCTAGATGAAGCGGAGCCGGGCCGAGATAAAACACACTGTAAACGGGCCGAACGGTCGGATATTTGGTTACAGGGAGGCGGCGGCACGTGCGGCGTAGCTCCGGGCCAGGTGGTGGAGCTCGTGCTGTTTTTAAAACAGAAGAGGCAGCAACAGCAGCGGCAGCGGCGGCGGCGGCAGCAGTGGCGGGGGTGGGAGGCTACGTGGATTGCCTGGACGAGGAAAGAAGGGGAGTAGGAGGATGCGAGCCGGTAGGAGCGAGCGTGCTCGAGGAGGTTAGTTGTTCACCGGTGGCGGATGGCGAGGTCTGCTGCGGCGACAGCAGTACCACCACCAACTACAGCCACCGTCGTCATCACCTCCACCATATACACCGTCGCCACAGTCATCGTCAACAGCAGCAGCAGTGTATCCATCGATGCCACCAACGGAGGGACAACGCGGCTAGCAGCGAGCTCGTCGTCGACGGAGAAGCCGACGATGAGGCTACGTGCCAGGAGCCTGCCCATCACCGAGACGTACACGAGCTCCGTCACCTTCACCACCGTCACCACCACCGGCACTTGCATCATCATCATTACCATCAACACCACCGCCACCATCATCATCTGCATCGTCTCCATCAGCGGCTGCGGGACGACAGCGTCGCCCGGACGAGCGAACGTCGTCGCGCGGATGATACCGAGACCGATAACAACGATAACAACCCTGCCACCGTCACTGCCATGACGAGAGGATGCAGGATTCCGCCCTACCTCGCTACTCTACTCATCCTCTCCTACACCCTCTTCGGTATAGCAGGTTAGTCGAACATTCTCTTTTTAATCGATTGCTCAGTGATAACGTACAGTGAAAGTGATAACGACCCAGTGCTCTTACAATTTTACGTTTTTACAAGCGAGTTTCCACTGCTCCACTTGGCCGAACAGAAATGGGAAATTACTTGGAACAATTACGAGGAAATTAAAGTACTTTCATTCGCATCATTTTTACGGATAAAATTGCAATCTTGCAACGTCATTACCGCGTAGCTGCGATATACCCGTGCCGCGTCCGATGAGTACGAAGTTGCGAAATTGCATAGTTCGCGAACGGGTACAAAGCCGAGATCCCATTGTATTCTCGTCCCTATTCAGGGAACGCGATCTCTCGAGTGCGGAGTGGACGACGCGTGGCGGCGACAGATTGCAAGAATGCAACACGTGCGACCCTGATGGCCCGTAGCAATTATGCGCATACCGCGTGAATTATTTCGACGAAATATGTACACACATGCCACCCCTCGGATCTAACCAAACGCACAAAAGGGGCAAACAATCTTGCCAAATTACCCCAGCATTTTCCTTGCAATAATAATCACTTTTAGTGGCATTCTATGTGTCCCCATTATTGCAAATTCGGTGGTGCTCGGTAATATCAGGTTGCGTTTTGTGTTCTTAATGATAACGTTCGTTCGACACGGTTTGCTTGAGTTCAGTGTTACTTTATCAAATTACTGTCCCATTGTTGCAAGCATCGTTGTTAAATATAACTGAAAAGTCGATCCATTAGTGAGGATCGTTATTTTTCTTGCCATTCGTTTTAACGCAAATTCTGTGGAATGAACCATGCCGTGTTCGGAGCTAAATTGAACCGTGTAAATATGGCTTTAGGCATGCAGCGAGACGGCACATTGCAAAATTATAACAGGTGACAGATAGCCGGAGCGGATGCAACGTGCGTCGCGCGCAAGGAACGTGTTGTTGCGCAGCGCTTCGCTCGTGTGCGTCTCTCTTCTGTTACCACGGCCAAGTTTCATGCGTGGCGTGCGCGAATATTTTCCAACTTTCGAATTGTTCGATGGTATGCCCGATTAACGCGGCGAGTGCCGGAGTGCCAGGCGTTCCATTCGGTCCTTTTTGCCTGTAAACTGCTCATCGTGTCCCATGCATGCATCGCGCGGTCTCGCTGAGCATCAGAAGTGCGATTTTTGAACCAAGAATTTCACATGGAAGATCTCTTGTTAAAATTTTGTCACGAATCGAGAGTGGCGGGCGAGGACGGAGAAACGAGAGAACGGTTTTCCAGTTAAGATTTCGAAGGGGGATCGCGAGGAGGGGTGGCACGAGCACTTAGGCGGGCCCTGAAATACGGGGGCCCTTTTGTGTTTGGCAAACCGTGGTAGCCGTCGGAATTTCTAAAGCCAACCGTTCGACAATCCGTCCTTTCTCCCTCGTGTGTCCCGGTAATGGGATAAGGATAAACGATGGTTGGCCTTTGGTGGTCGTTACACAACTTAATCGAGCAAATTCGCCATTGAGCCGCTTTCTCTCGCCGAACTTTTATCGTTTCACCATCCTGATTTCCATCCCGGACGCACAATAGATCCTTTCAGGGGCCCGCCCGATTTTCTTATACTTCGTTTCACGTCGCGACGGGTCCAAATATTTGTCGTGAACCCGAGATGATCGACTTGAACGAGGGATCCCTGGTATAATTTGTTGAACGATTTCTGTTGACAGACGCCTGTTCATCGCGGTCGACGCCGAAACCACGACCGCCGACGCCGACGCCACGACCCAATATCACATTCCACATGTACACGTGTCCACCGGATTACGCGGAATGGTACTGCTTGAACGGTGCCACATGTTTCACTGTCAAAATCGTCGATTCCCTCCTCTACAATTGTTTGTAAGTACACTTTATTCCCACCGCCCCTACCAGAATGCTTTTCATCCAATAATACAAGATTAGATACTAACGACTGTTTTATGCAATTCCTAAACTGTAAATAATTCCATAACAGTAAAATGCGTAGATTAATATTGAAAGAATTAAAGGACATTCTTATTAAATATAGTTTCTTCAATTTATTCCATACAATTTTTATTTTGCATACAGTAATAAAATTTGATGAAACATTTCTTGCCAGGAATAATACATAGTGTTAAGAAATTTGTATAGTTAGCTGACAGAATATCTCCTGTAACAAAGCTTTCATCGTGCTGTATCAAAGCTGTATTTACGGTTAACGCGCTTGGGAAAACGTTGCCTTTACGAGAGTCGAATTTCTCGTAAACATTGGCCACTCTCACGACCCATTGCGTCTCGGAGCACGGTACCTTTTAACGTTTGCTTTCGAGCCGATAACCATCGATCGTCGTGCCCCGTAATCAACGTTTCAAGTGTTTCTCTCTTTGCTCACGGCTTCGTACCTGTCCAAAGAGATTTTTCGAAGTAATTACCAAACCCGATGACTGTGCGCAATGATTTACGAGCCTGGTAACGCGGCCAGTCCATTTTTCTCTTTCCTCCCTTCGCTCTGTTTGCGTAGTTTTATCGCGACGAGACCTCCAGACATTTTTCCCGATGACCAACACAGAAATTCACTTTGCGAGGTTTGATCAAGATTTCTTTTATCGATCGGTTCGCAAACAGAGCTCTCGTTTAGAGATTTTCGAGAGGAAACCGAAACTATCTCACGGTGTGGAAGGATTGCGACACGCTCGTGTATCGCGCGTGGAATTTCCACCGTCGAAGACGTCTCGGAATGTTACGTAACGAGGCACACCCTCGGCAAACATTTCAATGTTCGAAAATGCTGAACAATGACGGTTACCTCCATCATTAATTTATTTATTTTCATCTATTCATTAACCAGAGTACATAAGGTTACATTAGTATGTACATAGACCGACATAAACCGTCTTCCTATAGAGATGAGTACCTGTACGTACATCTGGTATCATTAAAACTAAGTAATTGTGTTGTTTAATAATGTAACATTGAAATAGAAACTTAGATTAGATATCTAGAAAAATAGCATTTAAAATAGAATGTTAGATAATTAAGTAAGAATATTAAAACTATTGAAATAATTTATTATTATTTTTTATCCACGCTGTTATATTCATTTTAATATTTTTTGGCTGCACTTTGTAAGATTTAGGCTTTTGTAAAAGAAAATTAGAATATATAATCCCAATGTATTTAATACTTTTGTAACTAATAGATTTCTTAATTGGAGGTAACTGTAGACTCTTATTCTAATTTTGCTTGTCTTACAATTCTTAATGGTAGTGAAAAATTAGGCTAAATACAAATGTCCGATTGGTAGTTAGGGATAAGGTTTTTGCATTTATCATTCAATCAATGATTGTTGGATTATACGCCTATTCATGAGTAATCATAAATAGACCGAAGCGCTGCACATGTTCGAACGCGTTTCCATGTGCAGCAGAATTTTTAACGTTCAAGTTATTTCGGCCAAGAATCTTTTGCTCGAGGTGGAACTTTCATTGGGTCGAGTTCCCAGAATCTGAAATGTCCCGAACCAAATGCCCGACCGCGTACACCGTAGCGAATGAAAAGGATCGACTTTTTTCTGGCATCACGCTTATCCTTTCGCGTTTGACACCGTGGCTGGAACAATTGTGATAGATTCGAGACGAAAAAGGGCCACCGACTGCTCTAATCCCCGGCTAGGCGAAGGTGACACGTACCTAGGCATTCCTACGGGAATCCCATGGATTCTTTTCGCTGCCGATTGTACGAATCGGATTTTTATTTATGGTTCCCGGTGATCGTGAAAAGACACGTTCCCTCCCTTTGACTTCTGCCGAAACTCCAACTACAATTTTCTATCGAACCTTTTAATATAGTCTAATGAATATAAAATAACGAAACGCGCTGTGATAGATGAATAGAATCTGGGCAAAGTTACGAATCAACCTTTCACCGATTTCGAGTCTCGATCTATCGTCTCGTATGCAAACGAAATAACGCGAAGGTCGACTCTTCTTCTCGCGTCGTGTGCGTGCTACTTTTTCCTCGTTCGCGCTCCCATAATTTCCGAACGGGAGGATTCCGTGAAGCGGACGGAGGGAAATTCCAACGGTGGAAAGTGCTGGGTATAATAAGCGTTTCCACTTTCTTGCGACGCGCGTTTTAACAAAGACACTTACTAACGAGACCGATGATTCGGCAGTAGCAACAGCAGGCAACAGTTTTAAAACTGAAATATGAATTTGATTTTCATTTACAAAAGTTACTTATATGACTTATAATTTTGGAGATATTTATTCATAATAAGATTGTAAGCTTAATAAAAGCTCCTGTTTTATAAATGAATATAGCATATGATATTTCGAAGTATATAAGGAAATTCCTAGGATTTATTCTAGTAAATTACAAATGTTGAAAATGTCTTCCTTGCTGTCGTAGACAAATTCTTGTTAGAAGAATTAGTGAAGCATGAACCAAAACTAATGTGTTCGAGTTTTTAACTGCTTCGAATGCCTGAACGATATTACCTTTTAATTGGTCCCGATTTTTATTATTTTGGGCATAAACTAGTGATTTCACAAATAAAGTAGACTCTGTTTAAGTACACGCGTACCTAACTAATCTTCAAACTCGATTTAAGATAAGTTATAATTTAATCTTTTCTAATATATGGATTTTTAATCCAGAAGTCTTGTATTTGTACGTGTTCATTTTTAAGCCTTGTCTTGACTAATATAGTAGGGCAACAGCTGCCTTAATACCGTATCTCGATGAACGGTGGTTCGTGACGATAACGATCTTGAACGCCGCGAAATGTACGATTTAACGTAATTTTCTGCGCCATTTGCATCGCGGGTAAAAGACTCGCGCGTTCTCCACCGTAACCAATGACGTCAAATGCGAGACACGCGGAGGAAACCAGATTTACGTGATCCGGACGTGCGCAAATCTCTTTTTCATCATCGACACTGGTTATAATTAAGCGGCGGACTCGCTTAGGAAATCTACTGCAAGGCCATTGATTAAATCGATAAATGGTGCACTCGAAAGTAAGCCACGTGACGTAGATCGTTGCGTCACGTACACCCTTGTTCATAAATCTCTAGATGTATCGTCGAGATCGAACAGGCCTCTTCTGGATACGTACTGTATGAAAAGAGAGCACGGGGTCTTTGCGTCTCGGCGGAATCGGCGATGTTAAATGTTTCGTTGCGTGGGAGTAACGGAAGCGTTGCTCAAGTACTCGGTTCCGCGGAGGAATAGAAGCGAGACGAAGAAGATCGTCCAATATAGAAAATCCTGCTTATAATAACTGATCAAATGTAAAATTCATGTGAAATATCTATCAATGCAGTCAAGTAATAATTCTTATAATAAATCTCTTCGATTCATCCAATATTACATTGTATTCAGTATACAGCAAATTCTTATGCAAAATAGGAGATTTAAGGTAGTCAGTTAACAGTAAACCTACTCCTTATACACTTGTTCCTATCGTGTCTGGTAAAAATGACTGAGCCTTAAAAAAAAGCATTGTCAGTTTATTATTGAATGAATTAATATATGAAGAATTTTTACAAAATGACGATGCAAATTTATCTAACAGGATATCCTGAAAAATGCTAAGAAAATCCAGATTGCAATTTTCTTTATCGTTTAAGCATTGCAATATGCATTCGCTTTTCATATCTTATATATTTTTCTTTGTACTTCCAGTACATCTAATTATTTCATAAATGCATAGAATTCATAGTCTAGTATTCAGTGTAGATTATCAGGGCGAATATGTGCGACCAAAAGACGAATGAAACTGGATTTCATCGTGTGGTTCGGTTAAACTTGAATTCGCTTGGATTAAATCTCGAGGGATTATAAAAGTGGAAGGGCGAGTCGATGATCCACGAGTACCGTTCGGTGAAATCGGCCGTGAGAATTCTTTTAATTACCGCATAATTACGGCCGGCCAAGATCGATACATTGCGCAATCGTTTCCTCGTTATCATTCCTTTTTTGTTTCTTATCCGCTTATCACTATTGTAATCTTTCCTTGATATTCTTCTTCTGTTTCCTTTCCCCTGGTAGCTAGTAATTGAGTGTACTAATTGGGTGGTTCGAGCGATGGCGTATACCTATCTGATTAATGTCCGATATTAAAAGAGCGGTTCGTGCCTAAAGAGCACGCTTTATAGCTTCCTGGATATTTCTTACCGCGTTTTACGGAAGCGGTCGCGTACGAACAATAAAGCTCTCTGCGCTCGCTCCGCGCTCTCTTCTCACCGCTTTTTTATCCAACTTGATGCGCCTTGTCTTAATCAGGTTTCGTACCTCCTTGCCTGTTACAGATGCGCCAACGGTTACATCGGGCAGAGATGCGAGTTTAAGGATTTAGATGGTTCCTATTTACGTAAGTATCCTAATATCCATCGATCGCAGTACATATTTCAAGTACGGTGGAACCTCGATTATTATCGGAACTAATAGACAAACATGTTCGGATAAGTATTAAAATATTATTAGGTTTAGTATTGAAATGTATTCAAACATCAGTAACATAACTTAAAGATATCGTTTGGGTAATAGAATGTTTTGATGAAAGAACATTCCATTAATAGAGCTAATAAAAGATAATCGGGGTTCTACTGTATGGCAAGAATTGATTCAGTAAATTCTGAACAGGAGATAAGGAATTAACGTTTTTGTCACAGCTTCCCGGCAACGTGTAATGTTGGAGACAGCCAGCATCGCCGGCGGTGCCACGATAGCAGTATTCCTGGTCGTTATCATTTGCATAGCGGCTTACATCCATTGCAAACGAAAGCAAAAGGAAAGGTCGAGGTATGTCTCTAACGTTATGAAAAATAGAAGAATGAACATTGATAATTCGATCGACTGACTTTGACGTAGTTGTTTTAAATTAGATATATTATATATATATATGTAGAAATTTCACATTCGACGTTATTTCTGTGCCAGCAGTAACTGCGTCGACACGGTGGATGGTCCTGGCCGAGATCCGGAGTTGAGGCCGTTTAGCAACCGCAGCCGCTCCCTCATGATCTTCATGACCAAGAATCCTAACAGCTCGGTAAGTTTCAATCGAGAATCTCATCTTTATATTTGAAATTCATTTAATATACAAGTTTATCATATCTTTTTTCTACTTTCAAAAGAAAACTGTGCTTGTGACACGATTTATCATCCATAGCCGTGCGCACGAGTGTAATAATTTCTCTAATTAACAATCCATAAAATATGTTGCCACGCTCGGAGAAAGCGAGGAACGTCGCGTCGAATGAGGAAAAAAAACAAGACTGTTTGTTCTCAGGCGGCGATAGAGCAGACGAGGATGCCCGGATGGAACAGCCCGGAAGCGGAGTCAATGAGAATGGCGTCGATCAGCGAAGGAAAGCGATCGAATCAATGATAGAGCCGGGAGTCCGGTGCCTAATTCCACGACGCGAAACCGAGGCGTCCGGCGTAGGAGAGATATCATTTAGACGGAAAAGGAATCACTTTCACCCAGCTGCTTTCTGCCTCCGTCCATGGACTACGTTCTCGCGACAGCCACGGGAAATTCGCGTTCCCCGATGCCGTGCAAACACGGGATCTAACTTATTATTCGTCGTGGTTCGTGCCTGAGGAAGATTTAGTTCGCGCGAGAATCGCGATTCGCGTTCAGAGAAGAGGATCTCGTCGGCGGCTGGAAGAATCGATACGTGGATCGGGATCCCCGGGATCGATGATCTCCGCGAGACCGAGAAGAAAACGTAGGATTTCAAAGGGAGAACGTAGCTGGTTTTAACTTTAAATAGCTGGACTCGAACAGCTGGAAGAACAAAGGACGAGAAAGTAGAAAAGAAGGGAAGCTTAAAAATAAAGCGTGTGCCGCTTGAATAGAGGTGGACTCCTCTCGATAGAAAAGGAAGAGGGAGATTTGAAGATATTCAGCGTGAAGACGTAATGAAGAGAAGAAAAAGAAGCATAAGTAATTTTGTTCCTATCGGAGATAGTTTAGAGCAGACAATAATAACCGGAGAACGATTACTATAATGTTATTAGCATCGGTTATATGATAAACGTACTAGTTAAGTTTCTCGACGAATAATCAATTTGCTAAGTAGAAGAACCGTTGCTCGTCGTAAGAACGATTATTTTTCTCCAGCTTCCGCCGAGGGATGCGCGCGGAGATTTACTTCTCACTTTTATTTTCTTTAAATTCTTTTTTGTTCCTCGTTCGCTCCATTTCTTTCACTATCTTTTTTCCGTCTCCGAACGCCGTGAGTTCAGCACAAGTTCCTCGTAAATCAACGCCACCGAACACGCGGAAAATAGAAACGATTCACGTATCGAAACCGGCCAATGGATGCGCAGCGTTCGAACTTGCAAGTCTTCTTTTAAACATTCGAGTTGGCAAGAGGAATTTCCAAAATTACGTCGGGCAAATTCCACGTTGATCTCGCGTGACAAAATTCAAGTACTTCACTGTGGAACAAATGTTCTATCAGATAGAATTATTTATTGAAAGTCGGCGTTATAAGTACGTGCGTCGCGTCTTTTCGTCCGCACGATTCAATTTCAGTTTTGTGTTCGTGAAAGTAAAGGAGAAGAGTGCACGATGTTATCTCTGCGCGATTAAGAGGACAAATCGAGCCTCGGTGTAGCGTTCGTTAAAATCGTTGATAGGCATCGATCCTAACACACGATTGCACGAGTCGCGGTGGCGTCGATGGTGAAGAAACGCGTGTCGGACGTTCGTACCGCGGACGCTGGTCTCTGTTTCTCGCCTCTCCTCCTGTAAATAGTAAATTATCCGCGTAAAGGGCCAGCCGGCTCGTTTCCCGGTGAATCTCCGTTTATCTGACGGGCGATTCGACCGTTGTAGCGGACAAACTACAATTAATGACGATGCTGATCGACGGCGCCACCACCTACGGTGACAACTGAATTTATCGGGAAACGAGTCGACCGGATAACAGAGCCGAAATTCGCGGTACGCGGTTCCTTTATTCGAGCAGCCATCGATTGCCACCGCGGCGGGGAACTTCTGGGAGAAGTACGATAGAGTATAGATTATTTTTCACGTCGAGTCGCTGGTAACTCCGAAAGGATCGGTCCTATTCGCATTCGATGGTGTTTTGTACATTTTGTAGATACTGTGCTGTGGTGTGAAAGAAGCTTCCAAACGCTCTGAAGGAACTGAGAACTTGTACTTTTTGTGTAAAAAAAAAACCAAACGTGATTCGCTCGTGTTTCCTTTTTCGTTCGAAACGACGACGGGTGGGTGGGGAGCAGTGATCGAAGGAGGATAAGAACGATCGAGATGAGAAACGAAGAACGAGTACGCACGTAGAGGATTTAGTGGACACGAGCAAGGACAGGTTCCGAAGGAGAAGAGAACGCATGGAGCTAGAGTGGCCTAAAAGTATGTTTTCTTTTTCGTGTCACGGGTACGAGGTACGAATCGTGACCCCGTACGGTGTAATTTATTATAAATAGTCCTAATTAACGTGGAGAAACCGTAGCGTGAAATTGAAGAAAAAAAAAAGGAATGATTGAATTAATTTCCCTGATCACACTTCTCTCGTAACTTTGTACTTGGTTCCTAATTTATTCTCACATTAATTATTTTCCTTTAATTATTAATTAAACCGCGGTTGATTATTATTAATTTACTAATTTACGATCATTAGTTACGATCAATTAATTATTCTCCTTTTATCATTATTATCGAATCACGATTAATCAGTTTATTCCTAATTATTATTTGGTTAACACGGTATCTTTTAAGGACCCGCACATATTATTTATAAACGAACGAAAAAGAGAAAGAGTAGTATTTAAAACAAATTTTGAGAAAAAATGCACGCAATTACCGACGCGAGTCTGCCTGTGAAAATCGCGCGAGACTCCGTGAAAAGCTTGCGTTCGTAATCCCTTGGTTGAAAACGATCATTTTCGTACACCTGGCACAAACAACGAGTCAATTGGTTGAATAATAAATTTTTGTTTAAACCGAAGAAATGTTAAACTGAAATAGAAGTTTCACAGGCAGGCTGCGAGTGTCAGATTGTAAACGCGAATAACGTCGTGGCCGAATGATTGCTCGAGAAACGATCGTCGATTTCTTTCTTTCCAACGAATTAATCACGGAGGAACGGTTTTAATTTTTGTAGTCGTCGAGAGCAATGACTCGGCCTCGCGGTTTAGCGACCGTTTAAGCGTAGACAGTGGTGGCATTTTAGTACATCAGACAGCGCTGTATCGCGAGAATCAAGACGAAGAAGAGAACCGAAGGGTGGGAAAGAGCAAGGGAATATATGGGCAGACACGAGAAGGATACGTGGTTGTATTTAGTCGAGCGAAAGACAAGAAGAAAGATGCGAACGGAAAGAAATTTGTTTTATCGGGTAGCACCGTCGCGGTCGTTCGAGGTCTATCCTAGAAGAGAGATCTTGACGGGAGGGACACGGCTCGTTGCGTCGATCCCCGTCGTCGATCGGAACTGACGCGGGCTCATTGGAATTTCGCGAAATTCGTGGTGGGCCGCGATCCTATTCCGATCGAGGCTCGTTCATCCTCCCGGCGACCGCGCTCGAGCCCCGAGCGTTCTCTTCTTTCCTTCATTTTCTCCTGTTTGCTTCTTGCTTTTCCGTTTTTTCGTTCCTTCTTCATTTTCTGTTTCTACATTCTGTAATGCTCTCTTTATTCTTTTCCCTCTTTTGTTTTTTCTTTTTTTTTTTAATTCACGGACGGAAACCTTCGTGCTCCAAGGACACGCGAATGGTCTCCAATAAAGTGGGAAATCCTTATTTTCTTTATTTCGTGAATTGCGTGCGCTTTATGACGGCGGATGGTAGGTACCCCGTCCGACATACCAAATCCGTACTCTCTCTGTCGCGGTATAAATGCTGTTCGTTGTAAATGTACCAAAGACAATGTCGATTAACTGACAAAATAAATAAAGTAGTTTATTTATGAAAAACGAATGAAAAAGATTAAAAAAAAAAACAAACAAATGGAGAGGGAGTTCTCCCTCGTAACGATAAGAGATACGATGATGAATATAAACGGGGATTTATACGAGAGTTATATCTATCCAAAGGAAAAAGAAAGAAATTGCTGCTAAAGTGTCATTTAGCTAGACGAGATTTATCGCACCGGATCCGCAATGTTGCATCGAAACATTGTTATTATTTTTGTAAAGAAACCATGTACATGTATTAACTTAGCGTGCTCTGCGTATGGAAGCTTACAAATATGTTGATTATTACTATTATTATTGCTATTATTTCTATTATTATTATTTCTATTATTATCTATTTTTATTATTATTATCTATTATTATTATGATTATTATTATATTGAAAGGAATAAAAACTTGTAATCTTGTTTCCCGAAATGGTTAAATAGTATAAATAAGCAAGATCATCGTATAAGTCGCTGGGTTTAATCCTTTCAAACCTTCCTGCTATTTGAGTACCGATCGGCAGAGTGCACCACCGTCCAGGGCCGGTATTCGGAGTAGTTGGCTTTAAGCATTTGCTATCCCGGTCTATCCCATATTTCCAGTCCCTGTCTTGTACATACAGAAAATAGGGACTTAAATGCTTAAGATGATTCGAAATCGAGCAAATATCACAGGGCGTATTAAAATACAGAAAGGTTATAATAAAGCTGCCGATCAGCCAACACACACGTTGGCTACCTTTGGAATTTTTGCTATGGTTTTCGAATTCGACGCATGCACATTAGCGTCAACACTCACTTTGGGTATGAAGATGTTGGTGTCATTGTAAGTGTTGGGTTAGATTAAGTTAGGTATGACGTGAATTTGAAGCGCATGCGCTTATGGTCTGCACCCTCTTGCGTATTTCGAAAGGTTGCTGTATCACAATGGCGGGTTTTATATTATGGTTTATGTGAAGAACGCGTTGGGAATAACGTACAGTACAGAGAGTTAAGGAAGTTGGATTGTAAAATGATGAATGAATATATAATTGAAAACTTGAAATTTTAATTAAAAACTTAAAAGAGTAGATAAAAAATGCTGTCAACAGTGTTGAAATCTGTATTTGGTTATGATGACTTTAAAAGTGATATCCAAAAGCGAGCAACTACTGCTGTTCACAGAAGTTCGTACATTATGTATTTGTTTATGCAAACATTACATATGAAATCTGTAATAAAGAGAAATGATTATTTCTAATTTTTATGAACGATTTATGTTCACTTCTAGGTGATAAAGATGTGTTTGTATGTATGCCAACTGGATCTGGAAAATCACTTTGTTTTCAATTGCCTGCTATTATGAAAGAGAATAAAGTTACAATTGTTTTCTCGCCATTGTTGGCTTTAATGAAGGTATACAATTAATTCATGAGATAAATAATTGATAGAAATGAATTAAATGATTAATATAGTGTTCATTTATATTGTAGAATCAAGTAGATTTTTTACTTAGTAAAAAGATCAATGCATCTTCTTTAAATTCAAACACATCTAAGAAAGATAGAGAATCGATAATCAAAGATGTGACATCCAATTCTCCAAAAACTAAATTGTTGTATGTCACTCCTGAAATGGGAGCACAAGAGCATTTTCAGGTAAATCATTTTTACACATACGTTTAATTGTGATATGTATAATAGAATATAAAAATATATTTATTAAAATATTCTTACAGGATTTAATAATTAAATTAAATAAAGCGAAAATGATTTCTTATTTTGTTATTGATGAAGCTCATTGCTTGAGCGAATGGGGCCATGACTTTAGACCAAAGTATAGAGAACTTGGAGTATTTAAAAAATTATGTCCCAGCATTCCAATAGTCGCATTAACAGCTACTGCTGCAAAAGAGGTAGATCTGGAATATTAAAATATGTAAACAACTGATTTTCTACGAAATATGTGTTACAGGTAAAAGATGATATAATGCATTGTTTAAATATGAAGAATCCGGGCATATTCTCAGTACCAGTATTTCGATCTAATCTTTATTACGATGTATGGTTCTTAGAATCACTGGATAAGCCTTTTGAACATTTGACGAATTTTGTTAAACAAGCTCTTGGTTCAGAAAGTACATCTACTCCGAAAGTATGTCATTATATATTACATAGCATGCATATTTATATAAGATTTGCACTAATTGCTATTGAACAATTGTAGGACAAAAGGAGCTGTGGTATTATTTATTGTAGGAAGAAAGAGGCAACTGAATTAATTGCACATAAGTTATCTACTTTTGGTATACCCACGTTGGCATATCATGCTGGTATAGATTCCTATCATTTTAAATACTTGTGAAACAATAAAAAATGCTGAAGGTAATAATTAGACGTAAATACTTACTGTCGTAGGTTTAAAGAATCAAGAGCGTAATGATGTTCAAAATAAATGGACATCTGGGGAAGTACCTATCATTGCTGCAACATGTAGTTTTGGCATGGGTGTGGATAAAGGATCTGTTAGGTGAATCATCGTTTACAGGAAGTGTACATCACATCTGATTTTATACTGATGTTATAATTTTATACCTAGATTTGTAGTGCATTGGACAGCCCCACAAAATATAGCAGCTTACTATCAGGAATCTGGTCGAGCTGGTAGAGACGGTAAACCAGCGTTTTGTAGAGTTTACTTCAGTAGTGAAGAATACAGAGCCATTGAATTCCTTATTAAAGCAGAAGTCACGGAAAAAAATTCCGAACTCGTAAAAGCAAAATGGAAAAATTTTGAGAAAGCTGTCTCGTACTGCCTTGAAGCGAAGTACATATTATTGCATATATTAGGTGAAATGAAAAGTTCTGAGCCTTTTTCGTTACATGGCTTTAGTGAACGATGTCTACGTTGTATCTTGTCATTCTATACGGCAAATTAACCCTTTGCGGTCGTATGTGTGCTCTTAGCCACCAAAGCCTTTTTACCGTTCCGGTCATGTCATCAAACGCTCGCCATGCAAAACGCAGTGGCGAGTCTGTCGTCTTTTGAACG